TGTTTAAATTCTGCTACTTATTATGTCACTTGACATAAAAAAGTTCTAAATTTCCAATGTAGTAATAAACTTGAGTACCTAATAAAAATTCCCAAAATGTGTTCTTTGTACTTGTTAAAAAATTGACGTATATTCTTCAAGTGATAATGATAATATCATCATAACAGCACAATGGCATCAGTTAGTGATGTAATTAGATGTATTGTAACCAACACATGCCTCATAAAGTTATAAATTACTTTACCTTTTAAGTGCAAAAAATGAATAATTGACGGTAATCGTTAGCACGTGAACATCATTGCTAATTTTAAATTTGTCACTACTTTTCGAAACTAATTAATTAACAAATAACTCAAATAGAATCGTCGAATTCAGAACTTTTATTTTTAAATTTATTCCTTAGATAACATTTAACAAGGCAAAATCTTCTCACACTTGGGTTATTTTATTAGTAATAGTGAAAGTGGCTGGTTTTTTTCAAATTGCCGTAGACTTGACTTCCTTTAATGGACTGCTTTGTCTGCAGTTTCACCTTTTCTCAGCAAAATAGTGAATTTCGTCGGAATTTTTCCGAAGATCTTTGATCGTTCAGGGCCGATTGTTGACGTCAATGTGCAGAAAAAGCCCATCCGAAGCAACGGGAACGCGTGACGCAACCACCCATTATCAGTGAAACCTCCCAAACACCCATTCCCCCCATGCATGTAGAGGGGCAAGAGTTGTTTATCGCAAGACTTCGATGGTCAGTCCGGCGACTAACCTCTCCCGCAATCGACGCGTGTGCTTCACCGGACTTTTCCGGGCATGAGTGAAAAACTGCAGTGTAATCAAATAATATACCAAGTGTTCGAAAAATGTGCTAGTGAAAGTTGCAAAGACAAAAATGTTGATAACGTAAGACATTGAATTTTAATTTCTGGCTCAAAACCGAAACCTTCACTGCTCTCTTGGTATTCCCGGCGAAATCTTCCATCCAATGAATTATTGATGAATCACTTAATTGCGCAAAGCCTTTTGTGATTGTCCCGGAGCAAGGCCACGACTGCGCCCCTCACTTTCTTATCAATTAGTCCGGAAATCACCACCCGTTACATAAACAGCGATTTTCTGTTACCAAACCGCTTTCTAATTAGGGCCCAAGCCGATTTTGCAACTCTCAAACATACACAATCATCAATTTTATGTCTCACTTGTGTGTAAACATCCAGTCATTTGTCTCGCACTTGCAGAATACAAAACATTGAGCAACAAAGGAGGAAAGTTTTCCAAACAAAAATAAATGTCAACTTGTCAAGGCCAGGAAGCTGTCCTAATTAACAATAAGGAAGCATTTTTGGGCGATTTTGAGTTGTGAGCCTTGGAAGGCAAAGTTTTTTGTTCTAATCGCCCCAAAACTGGTTTGTCTTCTTGCTCCCAACAGCGCCGAATTCCACCATGATGGTAGAAACTTCGAAACAATTCCGAATTTTCGTCCTCTAGATTAAAGTCAACTTGTTTTTGCGCAACCACCACCTTGTCTGGGAAAACATGTCAAGGAAGTGGAGTACAATGTCTGTTGTAACAAAAATCCACACTTTGCGATAGTTGAAACAGCGACTTGATGCTTTGTCGCGCTAATTACGATTCTAATTACATAATTAGAAAATGTGTTGTTGGCAACAGTGGATGTAATTCGACAATTATCATTCTTCCTAAACTCTTCAATTACTAACTTGGACATTTATTTGCATAATTATGGCTTATTATGTTGGCCACAAGCCATGAATTTGTCATGAGAGGCTTTTATTATTAATTGGACACTGTTTTAGAATAATTTATTTTAAGGTCGTTGGGAAAATGCAAAATTTTTTCAACGGCTATGTGGGTGACCAATAAAGTAGGCCATGCAATTTTATAATAAAATTAAACACAATTGTTGCTTATCTGTGGTCTCAAACAATTAAATGTAAGCAGTTTTTAATTTGTTAGACACATTTTATTACTTTTTGAAATATTAATTTTAATGGTTATTGAAGACACAAAAAGTTAATAAATGATACTGTTTGTGATACTTAGACACGTTTAGAGGCGATTTATGGTTAAATTTATGCGAAATTATTCTCGAACACCTTGTACTTTAACTTCAGGTAATTAAGCAGTAAACAGGAGCGGAGTGATAAGAAGAGGCCTCAAAATAACTCAATTAAAAACCAAATTTATTTGAAATGCTTGGAAATTTATTGAGATTTAAGGGTTTTTTGTATTTCATGGTTTATCCTAAATTTTTTACCAAAAATTGCAAATTTTCCCAATGTTTGGTCTTAAAATAGATATTTTAAATGTTCTTTTCAGAAATCTTTATTTTCTTAAGACTTGGCGTGCAAGAATACAAAATATGAAGCACTCGTCTTAAAATCCTTCCTTTTTATGTTGAAACCTTATTTTTTTAATAATTCGCTTCTGTTTTGAATTTTCAAGATTTTATTAAGTGAGAAGGTTGTCTCAAGATTTTTATTTTCGTTTAAAAACATCATTTCTTTTAATCTTTGTTTTCAAGTTTTTAATCATTTCAAAGATTACCTTAAATTATTACGATTTAAGTACTGCTTAGTATCTTTTGATTTATCCTAAATTTTTTACTAAAAAAATCAAATTTTTCTAATAACTCCGCTTACCTAATTTAATTTTTTTATCTTAAGATTTATAATATTAGTGCTTTAATACAAAACACATTGTTTTATTAAATATCTCTAGCGGTTTGGAAAGATTTTTAATTTTTTTCAACATCTCGCTTATGAATTTTTTCCAAATTTCTTTTCTTTCTCTCAGGATCTAAGATAATGCTTTTAAATTCAAAATATTGAGCATTTGTCTCTTTGCTTTTTATTTTAAAATTTTAATTTTATTATTTCTTCTGTTTTGAAGTCTCAAGATTTTATTAGTTCTTTGTATTTGTTTGTATGTCAAAAGTTTGTCTCAAATTTTTTATTTTTGTTTTAAAATCTAAACATCATTTCTTTTTTTTTAGAATTTCTAATTTTATGTTAAAATCTTTGCCTTCAAGTTTTTAATTATTTCAAGGATTATCCTTGCAGATGATGTCCCAATTTTTAATTTTATTTAACAGATTTTTTTGATAATTGATAATTTAACCCAAGTTTTTACCAAAAGAGTCCAATTTTTCCAATGTTGGTTTCTAAAATATTGACAATCTAAATGTTTGTCTCTTTAGAACCTTTTCAAAAAAATTTATTTTCTTAAGACGTCTATTTTGTTTGATTGTGTACTAAAACAATGATTTCTGTTATATTAAACATCTTAAGAGATTTGGAAAGAACTTTAATTTTTTTCAAGACCTCGCATATCAGTTTTTCAAAATAGGTTTTCTTTCTCTCAAGATTTAACATAATTGCCTTTGAATATAAAATATTAAGCACTTTCTCAAAGAAAAATCTTATTTTTTTTAATCCTTGTGTTTTGGTTACCTCAAGTTTTTTATTCTAAAAGAAGAAGAAAGGATCTTCAATTTTACTATAAAATTTTTGTTTTCAAGTTTTTAGCTATTCCAAACATTACCCTTGCTGATGATTTCTTAATTTTTTATTTTATTTAACATAATTTTTTGTAGTTTAATTTTTTAAGTCAAAATACTTGAGTAAAATCAAATCACGATTTTCAACTTTTGTAGTTGGTAATTAATTAATTGTTCAGTCTTAAGCAGAAACATCATGTATAGTTTTTTCACCACAAAATTAGACTTTTTGAAAGAATTACAAGTACTAAAAATAAACTAAAAAAAAACTTAATTTTTATTTCTTCGACAAAAAACATAAAATTATATAGTCACAAGATGACCAATGCAAATTTTTGGGATAAATAAAAATAAAAAATCAAATAAATCAACTTTTTAGCATAGTGACAACTGTGTTTAATTTTTTTGGGGATAATCAAAATAAAAGAGTTTTCACTTGATCTCATTATTCTCGTTAATTAGTAAGGTTGCAAAAAATAAATCCTTAGGTTGCAGCCAGAGGAAATCAAAAAAACAATAGTATTAAACAGTGGACAGTGAACACCAAAAATTTGGGGTTCGAATCGTGCTTCGGCCACTTTTTTTCTTTAATTTTCAAATCGAAATAGATAATAAAAATCCATTTATTAAAAATATCGGTTTTTCCTTGGCCCAATTTTAGCAAAACAAAAATTCAGACGGAATTTTGCAAGACACCAACTCAAAAATTTGGATTTCGATGCCTGTCTAGACAATATTTTTTCATCAATTTTTAAATGTAAATGAAATAGATAATAATCAGTAAACAAGAACAACAAAAACTTGTTTACCAAAATACCGGATTTTAGCTCATTTCACGAACAAAAAACTCACATTAAAATTTGCAAGGCAAAGTTTTTGACAAGAAATGCGTTTTTCGTTCAAATTCAAGTGCTTCCACCTCTCCACCCGTTGAAATTTCGTTTTATTCATAATCATAATCAATTCTAACAAAATAATAGCTAAAATAAACAAACCGCTCCCAGACTTTCAAAAATTTGGGGTTCGATGATTGCTCCAGACAATTTTTTTAATTAATTTTTACATGTAAATAAATAGTAAACAAAAACAACAAAAACTTGTTTACTAAAATACCGGATTTTATCTCAGTTTTCACGAAAGAAAAAAATTACATTAAAATTTGCAAGGTAAAGTTTCTGTCATTAGTTGAAATTTTTATGAATTTTCCCCAGGAGAAACGCGTTTTTTGTTCAAATTCAAGTGCTTCCACCTCTTCACCCGTTGAAATTTCGTTTTATTCATAATCATAATCAATTCTACCAAAATAATAGCTAAAATAAACAAACCGCTGCCAGACTTTCTACCGTTGCCAAACAAAGCCGTCCAAGGCCAAATTCCGTATGCTCGAGGAATAAACTCGCACTTGGCGTAACTCCTTACCCAACACTCGCACACTCATGAATACCAACTCACCACTTTTCCTTTCGTTGACTCCTCACTTGGCTTCCAGTGAAGGTTCAGCGATGGGCGAGCGCGTCGAGCCCGTGGTTCCAGGCCCGGACTTGGTCGGCGTCAACGTGGAGCGCCCCCCTGCGCCCCTGGTGCACCAGCAGTCCACCGTGTGGAGCAAACGCCAGCAGGCCGTCTGCGTCCGACACGCCTTCAAGCACTACGGCTCCAAGAAGAACCCCAACCACGTCCTCAGCGACCTCAACATGACCGTGGGCAAAGGCACAATGTGAGTCACTGCCACGCTAGCGTGGGCCTTTCTAACCCTCTCGCCCCCAGATACGGGCTGTTGGGGGCCTCCGGATGCGGCAAAACCACCCTCTTGTCGTGCATCGTGGGCCGGAGGAGGCTCAACACGGGGGAGATCTGGGTCTTGGGGGGGAAACCGGGGACGAAGGGGTCGGGGGTGCCGGGGAAAAGGGTCGGGTATATGCCCCAGGAGATCGCCCTCTATGGGGAGTTCTCCATCAAGGAAACGATGATGTACTTCGGGTGGATTTTCGGGATGGAGTCGGCGGAAATCAACGAGAGATTGCAGTTCTTGTTGAATTTCCTCGACCTCCCGAGTCAAAATAGACTGGTGAAGAACCTAAGTGGGGGGCAACAGCGACGGGTCTCCTTCGCAGTCGCCCTAATGCACGACCCCGAGCTCTTGATCCTCGATGAGCCCACTGTGGGGGTTGATCCGCTGCTACGACAGAGCATTTGGAACCATTTGGTTCAAATCACGAAGGATGGCAACAAAACGGTTATCATCACGACGCATTATATCGAAGAGGCGCGGCAAGCTCATACTGTAGGTTCCATTTTTGGTTCTAGCGAATTCTAAAAACCGTTTTTAGATCGGGTTGATGCGAAGCGGGAAATTGCTAGCGGAGGAGTCACCTCATGTCTTGCTCTCTATGTATGGTTGTCAGTCGTTAGAAGAAGTTTTCCTGAAATTGTCGAGGAAACAAGGACAAGCAGGACAAAACGATATCAACATTAGCAATAATATTAGTCTAGCGACTCTCAATTGGGGCAAGAAAGACTCCATTTCGGTGACGGAGGAGAGCGGAGTCGTCGGATTGAACTTCCACCAAAGCAAAGAGATTCTTATAGCGGATAGCACCAACGGACACATCGATGTAAGTCACTCAAAAATTATTTCTTTATTTTTTTTTTACAAAAAAACAAGATTTCTGGGCTAAAATCGGTCAAATCGTTTCAGTTTCATCACTCTGTATCAAATTCACTATTTTTTAGACCACAGTTAGCGTTTTTGACGAAATTGGCCATCTGACATGAATCATTGTAACAGTTTTTTCAGCTTCGCATATTAATTGAATCGCCCTGTATATAAGTATCAAATTTAAAATCACTTAAACAATGATTTAAATATTTCTATATTCAAACAAGATTTTAACGTATTTATTTTAATTTAATCACTCTGCATCAAATTCTTTTCTAATTTTTAGGCCACATCAATTTTTTTCGGTTTCACTGAACGGTTACATATTGAAGTATCACTCAAGCAAAGATTTAAAATTTTTAAATTTAAAAAAAGAATATTGAAAAAAACCGACAAGAAAAAATTGTTGAAACTAGCGTTTAACTGAAGGTTTTGTTTTTTTTTTTAATATCAAACCAGACGGATTTTTATATTTGTATGAAATTCAGTTATTTGACAAATAATTGTTTATAATATTATAACAAATGGACAGAAGGAAAAAATGGCAATTACAAACATCAAACAATTTTTAATTATTATTTTTGGAAACCATTCATTTAAGTTCTAGGATTTTGGTTGGATTTTTTTATTTGAAAATAGTTTTTTAATCAAAATTTTCAGTTTAGTTTAAAACTTTAAGGTAAGAAAGCGTTTTTTGGTCCGCAAATTGGTTTTTAAAATAACAATTTTTTTGTATATCAAAGAACGACGGTCACCCTATTTTGCAAATTTCCTAAACCGATGCTGAAACTGTTTAGTATTTTTTTATTGTTAAATTACTCAAAGCAACTAATTTTCTTTTTCTCAATAATTTTCTTTACAATATAATCTTTAATTGAAAATATTTATATTATTATTATAAATTACCAACATTAGTCAGCTGCAAAATTATGCAATAATCTTATTAAATCTGAAAATATTTTGTTTTGGCAAAAATGCACGAACAGGTCAATTTTCTTTTTAAAAAATACACAATTTTCAACTTTATTTAAAATTTTACACTTTTTGGTTTTTGATAATGTCATCCACATTTAAATCTAAACCCCTAATTTTTTAGCCATTCCAATAGATCTATTATTTGTCGAAATGACAACATCAAAATATAATATTACCTAAAGTTTTCGAAAAAAAACACCAAAAAAGTGTACAAACAACAAATAACAATTTTATTCTTCGAATTAGACTCAACAAGCCTTAAAATTGCTTTAAATCTTTAAAAATAATCTGACTTAGAATAAAACATAAGCATATAATTTTACATCAAGTTGAGAATTTTGTATTTTTTAAAAAGAAAATTGTTCTGTTTGAGCATTTTTGTAAAAACGAAATATTTTCCGTTTTAATAAATAAGATTATTCCATTCTGAAAAATTTAGAAGTTGTCATGTAAGTACTTAAAATTTTGTATTTTATACAATTTTTTTTTATTTTTAGAAAATATAGATTTTGTGCTATTTTTCACAAAATTACTTTTTTTTAAATCTCAAAAACAAAGATTTAAAGTTTTTAATATCGCAAACTTTATTTCAAAAACTTTTGAAATTATGCAAACTGATATTTGCAATATCTTTTTTAATGAATTTTAGTGGTTTTAGTTGTCATATAATAGGATTTTTGTATGATTTTAATTGCAAATTATTAAAAGAATAAAGTAGAAAAAATACTGTATTATATACACTCGTTTAATAAGCACTTGCTATACCTTAAAGCACTCTTCGCTATGCTCGTCATGTAATACATTTTATTATTTTTTATTTTGCTTTGTTAGTTTATAAAAATGTCTGTTTGAACAAAATTTGATTTCACGTGGGTAAATTTTTTCTCTATGTTGTTTAGGTTGCTACTTACTACGTAAGAAATAAATAATAAAATCATAGAATTATAAATATAATAATATAACAGGTAACAATTTGCAAAGTTTTCGATGTTGATAGCTAGATATTCAAGGTTTACTAGCAGAAATTGCGTGGTAATGCCAATATGACAAAAAAGTTACCAAAAACTGTATTTTAATAGCTTTCATTAAAACACTGTTTGTGGTATTTTAACAGTCATTAAAGATGCAAAGTAGAAAAAATGTTTAATGCAACAACTTTTTTATATTTAAATTGCTCTCAACACAAATTATGACTTTCTGAATTTAAGCTTCTGGTTGAATAAATTTCTTACTCGACCATGTTTTTGTTTAAAGGGCCAATTCAAGTGGATCACTGTGTATATTTTAAAACAATGTACAGAGTGAATATAAAATATGGAACCAAGCCTATAAAAAAAAATAATTAATATAAATTAAAGTAATATAAAAAATGTGATCGTATTTTGGGAACGAAATTTTGTTTTGTTTTTGAGTTCTGCGATTTTTTTTATCAAAATTGCAATTTATACAAAAAAAAATAGTTGTAATCCTGAAATCCTTTTATAGTGGGTTAAGGTTTAAAAAAATATTTTTTTGTAAAACTAAAAAACAAAACAAAAATTCAAAAATTTTATTCTTGATAAAACATTTTTTATAGTACTTTTAATCATTTATCAATTAGTTTTTCCAAAAAATAAATAGTTTAAGCAAAAAACCTTTGGTTTCATACTTTTTATTCATCTGGTATGTGTTTTAAAAAATGCTTTTATATAAAGTGACGTCTTATTCCATCATTTTTGACTAGTAATCTGGCACTTTATTCCTTCGGAAATAAAATCAATGAAATGAATGAACTGAATATTTCGTCAAATTATTCGACATTATTTGGAAAATTTGTTGTTATGTTATGTTATTTTTAATTTCATTTTAATTCTCGGGGATAAACATATCTCAATTTCCATTCAATTCCATTCAATCTTAAAAAACAGGGAGCTTTTTGATTTTCTTAGTGCTTAGAACCTTGTGGTGAAGTTAGTGGAAAAATTGCTTGAAATTTCAGCAGCTGGGCAAGCCGCCGTCGTCGTCGAAGAGCAGCATCGCGGACGCGTGCGACGACTGCAGCTGCTCCGACATGACCTCCTGGGGCAAAATCAAGGCCCTCCTCCAGAAGAATTTCCTCCGTATGTGGCGCAACGTCGGCGTGATGCTTTTCATCTTCGCACTGCCCGTGATGCAAGTGATATTGTTTTGTCTAGCCATAGGACGCGATCCGACCGGCCTGAAACTGGCCATCGTCAACCACGAAAAGAACTACACGAATCAGTCTTATCAGGAATGCTCTTTCGATTACGGCTGCAAATTCTCCTATTTGAGTTGTCGCTATTTGAACAATCTGCGAAATTCGACCATTGTCAAGGAGTATTATCCGGACCCGGAGGCGGCGGTGCACGCCGTCAAGCAGGGCCACGCCTGGGGGGCCCTCTACTTCACGGAGAACTTCACCGACGCGCTGGTGGCCAGAATGGCCTTGGGGAAGGACGCCGATCCGGAGACTCTGGACCAGAGTGAAGTCCGGGTGTGGCTGGACATGTCGAGTAATACGATTTACACCGGAAAATCCGGTTTCCTAATTCGGGTTTTTTCCAGACCAACAAATCGGGATTATTCTACAACGAGACTTGCAATTGTCCTATCAAGACTTCGCGAAAGACTTGCTAGGAGCGTGTGAGCAAAATCCGGATTTGGCCGAAATTCCGATTTCCTTCAAGGAGCCGATTTATGGGTCTAATAAACCGTCATTTACCGATTTTGTGGCTCCGGGTGTTATCCTAACGTAGGTTTTTTTAGTTTTTTTGGGGAATTTGGGTTTAAAAAATTGTTACAGGATTGTTTTCTTCCTCGCTGTCGCACTCACATCCTCTGCTCTGATCATCGAACGAATGGAAGGGCTTTTGGACCGGTCTTGGGTTGCCGGTAAGTCATTTTTGGCTTTTATTGTGAAATTTTTATTCATTTTACACAAATGTGGGAATTAAAACGTTTATTTGTTATTCTGGTGAAGTGTAAAAATTTATTTTGTTGGATGTGTGAAAAAGTTGCATTTTTTCATACAAGGTGAATAAAAAGTATGGAACCAAACGTTTTTTGCTTAAACTAGTTATTTTTTAGAAAAAATACTTGATAAAGTACTATAAAAATGTGTTGTTTTATTAAAAATAAAATTTTTCGAAATTTTCTTTTGTTTTCAGTTCTACAAAAAATTTAATTTTTTTAAGCCCACTAGAAAACTATTTTTCTCATGAAGGCTATGATCTAAGCATTACAACTATCTACTTTGTAATTTTTTTTTTAATTTTTTTACATAAATTGCAATTTTGACAAAAACTTGTTTTAAAGTACGACCACATTTTTTATATTAGTTCAGTTTATATTAATTATTTTCTGGTGGCAGATGATTAAAAAAACTGCTTAGTTTCATACTTTATATTCACCCAGTATATTTTACTACATTAATTATTATTGTTATATTGTTGGGCTTAGTATAATTAGGAAAAGAAAATACCTTTAATAATATCTGTTACGAAACAACATAATCAACATAATTGAAATATTTTGATAAGTCGCGGCGTCTCTCAAAACGCAATTAAAAACATCAAATAACTTGTTTATGTAGTAATGGAATTTAGTTATTCAACAACATTTAAAAAAAATTGAAAGGTTAGGATATTTTTTGTTTTTGTTTTATTTTATTTTTTCTTGATAAAAAAATAAAAGGTAAAAGCACATATTTCGTCAGTCAATTCACCTAAAGTCATTTCACTTGAATCATTGTGTACATTAAAAATAAAAATATTCTTTAATTTTTTTTTTGAAATTAGTAGCAGAACACCTCTTTTTGGCTGTACTCTGTAAACTAAAAAGTGTTTCATATAAAATCAAATGATAATTAATTTTTACGATTTTTTTTTAATTAACATCAGGTTGGGTTAATATGTCTCCATTCTGTATTTGGAGGAAGAAAATAAACATTTGCGGTATTTGTGTTTTTTTATAGCAGAAAAGTCGTAGTTTACTATTAATATTAATTCGTATTTTCTAAAAATAGAAGAAAAACTAGCTGATGTGGTCAAATCCTATCGGATTTGATGAAGAGTTTCATTTTTATTTAGTAAAGTGTATTTTAGATTTTAAAAAATAATGTTTGGGTCAGTTCGAGTAGTTTCAGGTCGGTTCAGGTCACTTTAGGCCACTTCGGGTTACTTCGGATTACTTTGGCTTGAAGTAAAAAGAAAGTGTTAAATGTACTCACTTTTGATTTTCAAAAGAAGAAAAATTCTTAGGAAATGTTTAAATTTAGTTGTAAAAATGCCAATCGAGACGTTTCAAAACATCGGGTTACAAAAGACAGTTGGGGAGACTAAGAAAGTGTCAGATGTACTGGATTAAAAAATTTCTAGAGTTGCAAAAAACATTTAAAAATCTCTTAAAGAAATGCTTAAATTTAAAAAAATGTCGTTCGAGACGTTTCAAAACATCGTGCTACAAAAGACAGTTGGGGAGACTAAAAGTGTCAGATGAATTGGTTTAAAAAATTTCTAGAGTTGCAAAAAACATTTAAAAATTTCTTAAAGCAATGCTTAAATTTAAAAAAAATGTCATTCGAGACGTTTCATTCCTATTTTCTAAAAATAGAAGAAAAATATATTGATTAAAAAATTGAACAAAGAAAATAAAATTTTCACTTTTAACTTCTTTTTTGTTCATTTAATAAAATAAATATTTTTCAAAAAAAATTAAAATGTTTAGGTCAAGTAATGAGTACCTTGTCATCTTTTTAAATTGTTTAATCACATAATATTTTAAAACGCACCTTTGCATTCGAACCAATGCTGTTTTAAGCAATCTACCAAATATACAGAGTGAATAGAGAATACTCGTATTTAATTTTTTAAGAAAAAAACCTATTATTTCTTTTTTTGTTTGTTTTAAAAATCTCTTTTGTAACATAGTTTTCAGTTATAATAAACATAAAGATATTCTTTTTTTTTTAATTGAAAGTTGTTCATAGCAGAATTGGCTCATTCTGTATTAAATTTCTCAAGTCCAGTCAAATGAAAATTAATTTTTACGAATTTTTTAATAAACATCAAGTTGAGTTAGGTAARATTTTAAATGTATCACTCTGAATATGAAAAACAAAAATAACGGCAATTTTATATTACTAATGTTTTCATAATATTTGCGTTAATTCTTTCTATATAATTAACATTTTTTTTTTAAGAATAACGACGTTTTCGTGTTTTTTTTATGTTATTTCATCTTCAAAATCTGCAATATTTTTTATTTAAAGTCAGTGTTTTATATGAATTTTTTTTTATAAACATCAAATTAGGTTATTAATATTTTAGATGTTTGATTCTGTATATTAACAAATACATAATATTTGAACTACATCACGTTGTATATTAAACAAAGTTTTTGTTGAAAGAAAGAACAAAATAAATTTTCACTTTGGACACTTTCTTGCATTTTGAAATAAAAATATTGTTTGAGTAAGTCAAGTAATAAGTATTTTTTGTCGCGTAATAATTTTTTTACCCAATTTTGTTAATCTTAGACGAATTACTCTGTATGCTAGACAATTTTTTGAAAGCAAAAACACAGTTTTGCGTTCGAACTAAAACTAATTTGTTAAAAAAAACTCCTGTTTTAAGCAATTTACCAAATAAACAGGGTGAATCAAACATATTTGCCAATAACTATTCATCAGAAAATTTCATAATATTTGTTTTAAATATTTTGTTTTTCAATTAACACCAAAAAAAATTAAAAAAAATAAAAGTGCAATTGCATTAATTTTTTGTTTATATCGTGCCACAACCATTGCCACTTCTGTCACTTTTCACAATGTTTTTTGGCTTAAAATTTATCAGTAGGGTTTAGATGTAACACAGATTCAGAAATTAAGTGTTTTTGACCTATTTCACCTCAAAAAACGCAGTTGCGACGTTGCCAGTGAGGCGGAGGCGATGGCTATGGCACGTGTGTTATTTAAAAAAAAATCAGTTTCTAATGCCCCGTTTTTGAATAAATACAAAATATTTGAATTGTTAGTTTTCAAAAAATAATTAATTTGTATTTTTTTAATGAGAGAAAAGTTGAATAAACTACAAAATATTTGCATTCCACTTCTCCGAATCCAACAATTGCAGTTACATAATTCCCCAGCCTTTTATTACCGCTTTCGCCACGCATTAATAGCAAAGTTTTTTTATAATTTGATACAAAAATGATAATTTCACAAGAATGAAAAGCGAATTTTTTCGTAGGTGTGACCCCCGGCGAGATCCTCTTCAGCCACGTGGTGACCCAATTCGTGGTGATGTGCGGGCAGACCGCCCTCGTGCTCATCTTCATGATCCTGGTGTTCGGCGTGCAATGCAAAGGCGACATCGGCTGGGTGATCGTCCTCACCATCCTGCAGGGCCTCTGCGGCATGTGTTTCGGTTTCGTCATTTCTGCAATCTGCGAATTGGAGCGCAACGCCATCCAGTTGGCGCTGGGCAGCTTCTACCCCACTTTACTCCTCAGCGGGGTGATCTGGCCCATCGAGGGCATGCCCACGGTGCTGCGCTACATCTCCACCTTCCTGCCCCTCACGCTGGCGACCACCAGCCTCCGGGCGATGCTCACAAGGGGGTGGTCCATCGCCGAGCCGGCGGTCTACTACGGCTTCCTGGCGACCATCATCTGGATCGCCGCTTTTCTTACGATAAGTATGCTGGTGCTTAGGTTCAAGAGAGGGTAGTGCCCGGATTTCGGCGTTTTTGGATACGTACTGTACAAAAGTCGCAAAATTGTTGTGGTTATAGTCATTTTTATTTATAAATAACTTGCCTTCATGTTTAACATAAGTGTTACACTTAGTTTAAGTTTTATARACAGTTTTTTGTATTATGACGATCACAGCTGATGGCTTTAACACTGAAGACGGCGCCCTTGGCAGTAGAGACTCTTAGAAGTTTTAATACAAAGT